CACCCGGAACCCCACCCGGAACCCCACCCGGAACCCCACCCGGAACCCCACCCGGAACCCCACCCGGAACACGCTGGAATACGAGCTATGAAGCAACGCACGTGTTTCTCTATAAATTCACGTGTTTCGCATTAAATTCGCGGTGATGGATGGTTACGATCTTTACTTTTTACTTGTATTGTTGTTTTTTTTAAATATTTTTTCTCATGGGCAAGGATAAATATATATTATGTCGGGCGGTATTTAATTATCAAATGCATGAGTTTTGCTTGTTTGTTTCGCTCGAGGCTTTTGCCCCATGTATTTTATGCCGCATCTATATTTTTCGTTTTCAATATTCTGCCGTACTAGGTACCTGTGACTCTATTCTAAATTTAGTTGAACAATAACCAATATTTAACTTTAATTTTGCTGTCTTTTTTATTATTTGAATAATATGTTTGCATATGCATGGTTATACTTTGACTTGCAATTGTATGAAACGGCGCCATGTAGGGGAAGCCTCACATATCGATTTTGTCCATGAGTAACGTCATATGTTCGTTTCTCTGGAGACCCTCCTATCACCCCCCTCCCCCCTTAGAAACGTCACACATATTTATCGATATTTTGTTTTTATAGTACACATAAGATAATTTTCTACTACTATTTTTTTCGGTCGGCTATTGGCGATGCTTCCGCGAGGAATATGTCATCTTCTGCTGACATACTCTTTTTTTATTATAAATATGAACTTCAAAATTTCCAACGTTTCTCAAAACAACTTTTTTGCATGAAATATCGATAATTTTAGCGCGTTTTTCTTGAAATTTGAGTGTTTGCAATGCAAAGAAGGCGTAATAATATAGCAACCTCGTACCCAGGGCCTTTGCGCGGTTCAGAGGCTCTGGTACGGGAAGCAAAGGCCCTGGTAAACACTGGTCATGTGACTCCAAAAATATTGGACATTTGTAACCTGGCCTTTGTTTAGGTCATGTTATCCCGGGGGGGGATGAACAACTGAACATTGCAATGCACGAACTATAAAAGTTTCAAATACAAATGATTTTGCCTTTGATTTTTAAAATATGAATGTATAACAATTGTTTGAAAATTCATATTTTAAAACAACAGACAGCAGATTTTAGGCTTGTTTTTATTTGATGGAAATTATAAACTTTGAAGTCACATGGATTTTGAATTATGCTTTAAAGAATGCAGTATATTCGAGGTAAACGATTTTATGATGCATATATAAAATTATATTCTCATATCTTTTAATATTTATCAGTTTATATATCCTAAATTCCAGCAGATTCGTGGCTGTCTGTTTGTATAATTAGTTTTCTTCGTTTAATTACTCCTCCATCGCTTTTGGATATAAACCCTCCTTCATGCCTGATATATTTTTTGGTTATCTCCATCCTTCACTTAATAATTCACTAAAATCAAAATTTTCTGTTCCAGCTTGCTCAGAAAATATTCAATCTTTCATAACTGGAGTTACCTTTGGCATGTAAAATCATTAGGCAGTACCCTCAGTAAAATACTTATTTAACTGGCTGACCATTACACTTACTTAGTCAAAAGTTAATAAATGAATACATGCAAAAATTACAAATTAACTGCCCTCATACCAATCCATTGGTCTCTGACTCATCCAATAAAGACTTAACAGAATAGTACGATAATAATAGAAAAGTGTGAAAATGCCAACGTTACCTAACTTTGTGTGACAACTGACAAGAAAGTTAGATTACATTAATTTTACAGTCAGGTATTCTTTTCTTTATCGCCTCAATACTCTGGTTGATGATTCCAATGGCCCCCATAAAATTCCAATGGCCCCCATAAATTTCCAATGGCCCCCATAAATTTCCAATGGCCCCCATAAATTTTACTGGAGAAAATGTTTCCCCCACTTCTTGCCATTAAATCTCCATAGCCCCAATTTTACCCATCCAATTAGGGAGAGTCTTGTGTGGTCACACTATAGTAATGGGAATATGGGATAATCAAATATGGCATACTTTGTTATTTTTCTCTGTCCAACACCAGACAATTTTACTTGTCAAGTGTAAGGTTAAGTGAGTAATAAAAAGTGGCTGGATATTCTAACTTTTGCTCCATATAATTGGACTTTGGTTGTGAGCAAAATGTAAAAAGACAATTACCAGTAATACTGGCCTTACTACATCCCTATTATTTACCTTGCAACCTTGAGCAGTTGTGCTGTTACAGCAGAATGTGGTTTCAAATGACAGTCATTTGAATGACAGTTATTTTATGGCAATTATGATATTCCAGTGTGCCAGTAAGACATTTGTCGTTTGTTTCTCTTTTAGTATTATATCGAAAAGGTGATTGCAGGGTATTCAGATCCTGGAGTGATGTGAAATGGCCATGACCTTGGGCAATTTATAAGTAATATATGAGTGGTGTAAAATAGGAAATTTTTTATTCATTCTGATTGACTAATAAAATTAGAATGGTGAGAATAATGATGATGATGGTAGTGAAATACAAGTTGTGATGATATTGGTGATGCACAAGTTGTAACGATACTGCTGATAATGATCAAAAATATATTGTATTTGTAATGAGACATAAATAATAGAGATTGGCAGTAATGAATGTGTATGACTTGATCAATTGTGCTGATGAGAAGGCAATATATTGCCACCTAGATGAATTAAGTCCCATGCCATTTTGTGTTCAAAACTAACTGTTCTCATCAGTGGGAAAGCTGGTTTCAATCCCATTAGCTGATCTTGAAACTATGTGCACACATATAAATATTTATTTTTCCCCCTCATGAATTATATTGTTTGCCCAAAATATCGGTTGATTAATTCATCTAGAAACAGTGTGAATGTTGTTTGAATTTGGTATGTTCACTCTGTGACAAGTGAAAGTGATATGTAATTCATGCATAATATGGTGATTTTTGGTTTCAGGATGTAAAAAATGAAATTTACTTACTGATAAAATTCAGTGTAACCATATTCATTAAGCCTCTGTGTCTCTCTTAGAAGCCCTACCTCCTCAATACAAATAAAACTCTGCATAGTGACTTGTGCCGTGACTAACATTATGTTACAGCTTTGGTTCAAATTTCATAAATCATGAACCGATGTACAGTAACTGCAAATGTAAACAAATAGGTGAACGCACACCCAGTATACAGACTGTTATTTGCCTTTAAGTTTAAGACTCCTAAGTCACATATCACTGATATAAGATTCATAGTAAATTTGTTGTTTCAAGATCACTGTATATTATTTCTCATGATTCAGGATTGGTACCCCCCCCCCTCTTCCAGGCAAACAGAAATATAGATGATACATCCTAAATAACATCCCAAAAAATAAATATGAAATTAACTCACACACACAAAGGTTTCAAGATACTGTGTATAATTTCATTCACAACTGTATTTTAAACTACATACATACGGAAACCAACCTGTCACTCGACCAGTTAATTGTTTCAAAATATTCTGCTTTGATAACTACATGTTTACAGTAATACACATGAAGAATTTCGTTTCCATAGATGTCCCCTCTGATTTATCCTTCCATAAAAGTACAATAAAATCCCAAGTGATATTCATTGGTCAATACATAAAAATTACTTATAATCAACAATGTTTATTTAATTCTTTATAAAACGTCGCACACAAGCAGTTGCATTGGATACAAAATAGACAGTTTAAAGACAGATCACTCGACTAGTTTTCTCTCAGTTTGATCCATGGTTTGATCTTCGTCCTTCGATCTTTGATAAGTATTACCGTTATCTATTCCACAGTTTGTTGAAAGAAAGCTCGTAGAATGCATATATAATATATACCCACTCTTAAATCTCACTAGGAAAGTTTTATTTATCATAATAATATGAAAACTCGAAAACGTCGCGCCTTCGCGCTGCCATGTTTGATAAAATCAATCGGCTCCGCTCCCCCGGATTGAAAACTAAATTATTACGAAATGTCCAATATTTTTGGAGTCACATGACCAGTGTTTACCAGGGCCTTTGCTTCCCGTACCAGAGCCTCTGAACCGCGCAAAGGCCCTGGGTACGAGGTTGATAATATAGATGTATACATGTAGAACAGGTATGCTATTGCGAATGTATAGACTGCTGTTTGTATCAAATTATTTTCTTTCTTACATTCTGCAAAGATAAAAACTATCGAATTTTTCCATGATGTTTACAGAGAAACGTCACAGCTGCCAAACCCGCACCCACCCCTCACCCCACCCCCAAACGAACATATGACGTTTCTCGTGGAAAAAATCGATATGTGAGGCTTCCCTAGGAATTTAGAGGAATTATAAAGTTCATCCGTATTTATTACAATACGAATTCTCGTGGATTTGGGAAATTTTTCATGGATTTCTTTACTAGACTTACTCGCTTTTTTGGAACTTTGAAAGACGTTTTAGTTATTTGGAGGCTGTTTTGTAAATGACAATGACTGCAGCCTACAGTAAAAGTGCACGCGCGAGATCTCAGAATAACACTATTATTAAGTAAGTCCCTTGATGAGTATGCATCACTGATCTGAAATAAGACTGGATAACGCATCTATAGTATACAAAAGTGAAGCCGGAAGTCACCGGCCTCCACCCGATTCTGGGGCCCCACTTTTGTATAGATTTGTATTACAGACGGTAGTTTTTCGCGTTTTTTGCCTTGGTTACGTTTCCGATCGGGCCAATTTTACAATCACAACGATAGAAGCATACGAGAGGAATTTTGAGCAAAAAATTTGGAGCATTATGGCTTTATAACGCCGCAAAACGGGATTTACAACTCTGAAGGAGTGGAGAGCCTCATACTTTGTTTATCAACACGAGCTCGTTTTGCTACTTTCATACAAAATCAACTCAAAATATACAAGAACTAGAAAATACATGCATGCAGAAACCCTCGCCTTGCTGACAAAACCGTTGTATTTTCCGAACAGGAAGTATCTAGAGTAGTTGTCATAGTAACACGATAATTTTTTAAGAATATTCTTACAAATGAAAATCGCCTAAAAATATCACTTTTAATTACAAAATTATCAATCTCCCACCATATATATGTTAGGTATGTAATTATACGTAATACAAGCTTCAATTTAAGGTAAAATTCAACCACAAACAATTCACAAAACGTTTTAAAGTGTTCTTTATAAAACTAAACTGCCTTTAACTATTAAATGGCTTTATCGATAAACTTTGAGTTTGCAATAAAATGATTTCAAATTCTCGCTTGCAAATAACTTTGGTCTTTGCTTTATTTTTTATTTAATAAATTCAATATAATAAAAAAGCGAATCAATATTAAAGTTACACCGAAATTTATATATGCTGTCTTGTTTAGTTGTTTCATATACGCAAAGGCCGTCGGGTTTTAAAGCCATTATAAAATCAATATTTAAAACAAACTTACCTTCGTTAACGTCGGCTCCCTTCTTTTAGCTGATTCTTTCGCCCTTTCTTTCTTGAAATTTACAAAATCTTGCAGAAATACGAGCAAAAATGAAATATATTCCCCGAGCCGGCGGCGCGAAGCGCCGTGCGAGGGTACTAATTCCCCCCGGCTATTTACACCCGGGGAAACGAAAGCATTAGCGGAGTCTAAAGTTCATCAAATATCGCGGGCGTCGGTCACCAACGATGGGTGGTCATCCTCACTGATCTCAAAATATGGCGGACTGTCATGAATAACGGACACTGATTGGTCCAATTTAAAGTTTGCATTATAACGGCTGTATGACGACAGCGAAATAGCAAACATTTCTTGATTTGATGAGTTGATAAATTTCTTGCAAATATTCTTCATTTTTGCTGGTATTTCTGCAAGATTTTATAAATTTCAAGAAGAAAGGGCGAAAGAATCAGCTAAAAGAAGGGAGCCGACGTTAACGAAGGTAAGTTTGTTTTAAATATTGATTTTATAATGGATTTAAAACCCGACGGCCTTTGCGTATATGAAACAACTAAACAAGACAGCATATAATTTCAGTGTATCTTTAATACTGATTCCCTTTTTTATTATATTGAATTTTTTGAATAAAAAATAAAGCAAAGTTGATTTGCAAGCGAGAATTTGAAATCATTTTATTGCAAACTCAAAGTTTATCGATAAAGCCATTTAATAGTTAAAGGCAGTTTAGTTTTATAAAGAACACTTTAAAACGTTTTGTGAATTGTTTGTGGTTGAATTTTACCTTAAATTGAAGCTTGTATTACGTATAATTACATACCTAACATAAATATGTTGGGAAATTGATAATTTTGTAATTAAAAGTGATATTTTTAGGCGATTTTCATTTGTAAGAATATTCTTAAAAAATTATCGTGTTACCATGACAACTACTTTAGATACTTCATGTTCGGAAAATACAACGGTTTTGTCAGCAAGGCGAGGGTTTCTGCATGCATGTATTTTCTAGTTGCAAGAAATTTATCAATCATCAAATCAAGAAATGTTTGCTATTTCGCTGTCGTCATGCAGTCGTTATAATGCAAACTTTAAATTGGACCAATCAGTGTCCGTTATTCATGACAATCCGCCTTAATTTTGAGATCAGTGAGGATGACCACCCATCGTTGGTGACCGACGCCCGCGCTCATTGATGAACTTTAGACTTCCCTAATGCTTTCGTTTCCCCGGGTGTAAATAGCCGGGGGGAATTAGTACCCTCGCACGGCGCTTCGCGCCGCCGGCTCGGGGATTATTGTTACTGGACGAATATTCTCACGAAATTTGAAGAAATGAAGCAGCTACATTGTGAACGAAAGCGTACAGAGGTTAGACTTTGTTTATCAACACGAGCTCGTTTGCTATTTTCATACAAAATCAATTTAAAATATACAATAATTACTGTTTACTGGACGAATATTCTCAGGAAACTTGAAGAAACGAAGCAGCTACATTGTGAACGAAAGCGTATACTGAGGTTAGTTTTAAAATACCTTGAGGCTACTTTTATAATTATACGAATTTAATAAGGAACAGTTTTAAATGTCAATTTTGTCAAAAGCATTCCTAGGCGACTTGTCGAGAAGTTTTATATGTTTTAAAGTAGGAAGACAAGTGACAATGAAATATTTTTAATCCAAATTATAAACAACGGACTCAATATGTTATTTTAATTCATATAATTATGGAACCTCCGTACGCTTTCGTTCACAATGTAGCTGCTTCATTTTTTCAAATTTCGTGAGAATATTCGTCCAGTAACAATAATTCTTGTATATTTTGAGTTGATTTTGTATGAAAGTAGCAAAACGAGCTCGTGTTGATAAACAAAGTCTGAGGCTCTCCACTCCTTCAGAGTTGTAAATCCCGTTTCGCGGCGTTATAAAGCCATAATGCTCCAAATTTTTTGCTCAAAATTCCTCTCGTATGCTTCTATCGTTGTGATTGTAAAATTGGCCCGATCGGAAACGTAACCAAGGCAAAAAACGCGAAAAACTATCGTCTGTAATACAAATCTATACAAAAGTGGGGCCCCAGAATCGGGTGGCGGCCGGTGACTTCCGGCTTCACTTTGGTATACTATAGATGCGTTATCCAGTCTTATTTCAGATCAGTGGTGTACATGTATATACGCTCTTGGGGCAAACTCATTCTCATCAGAAATATGTTTAAATAACTGAGTAGCTAATATTGCTAGAAATTCCCAAAACATTAATTTGTCATTGAAAACGTTAACAACCAACAAGCAGGATGATGTCATATAAATATAGAGCACGAGGTAAAACGTCCATGTTCCTTCGATCAACCGGCAGTAAATAAATATTGTATTTAATATATTAAATTAAGGACTGTGTTACTGTTGAAGTTATAACATGAACGCTTTGCCTATAGTGGCTAGTGCTTTATATATACGATACCAGCTTGTTGATTTGGTTGTCAACGTTTTCAATGACCGATAATAGTTATTCTGAGATCTCGCGCGTGCACTTTTACTGTAGGCTGCAGTCATTGTCATATACAAAACAGCCTCCAAATTACTAAAACGTCTTTCAAAGTTCCAAAAAAGCGAGTAAGTCTAGTAAAGAAATCCATGGAAAATTTCCCACAAATCCACGAGAATTCGTATTGTAATAAATACGGATGTACTTTATAATTCCTCTAAATTCTTACATGGCGCCGTTTTAATCCATACAATTGCAAATCAAAGTAACCATATGCAAACATATCATTCAAATAATAAAAAAGATAGCAAAGTTAAATATTGGTTATTGTTCAACTAAATTTAGAATAGAGTCACAGGTACCTAGTACGGCAGAATATTGAAAACGAAAAATATAGATGCGGCAATAAATACATGCAGCAAAAGCCTCGAGCGAAACAAACAAGCAAAACTCATGCATTTGATGAAAAAAAAATATTTAAAAAAAACAACAATACAAGTAAAAAGTAAAGATCGTAATCATCCATCACGGCGAATTTAATGCGAAACACGTGAATTTATCGAGAAACACGTGCGTTGCTTCATAGCTCGTATTCCAGCGTGTTCCGGGTGGGGTTCCGGGTGTTCCGGGTGGGGTTGCGGGTGTTCCGGATGGGGTTCCGGGTGTTCTGGGTAGGATTCCGGGTGTTCCGGGAGGGGTTCCGGGTGTTCCGGGTAGGGTTCCGGGTGTTCCGGGTGGGTTCCGGCTTTTACAGACACCCCTGATGTATTCGATATCGTATAAAATCCGATGCTGATAGAAAGATCAATATATGGACAATGGTGCTGCTTACCTGCCAAAAGCTAAATCGATTCCGTTGATATATAGTCCATAATTTCGTTTAACACAACAGCTGTTTTGAGCATT